CCACCAAGAGCGACGAAGCCGCAGATGATCATGATAAAGACGATTATGAGCTTGATGATACCTAGAGCATTCTGAAGACGAAGACCCCATTTAAGAGCAGTTCCGTGGATGATGAATGCAGTCGTGATACAAGCCAGACCGATACCACGCTGGTTCCAACGGTCGACCTCCTTGTTGGCAGCATGGAGGATGTACTCTCCGAAAACGACAGAGTTGCCAGAAGCCCAGCCCATGAGAATGATGTATGAAGCGTAGATGCCAGTGACGAGGAACTTGGGCTTGCGGTAGATGAACTCGAGGTAGTTCTTCTCGCCGCCATTCTTGGGGATACCGGTTCCCCATTCGAGGTAGACGGCTGTACCAGCGGCGGCGATGATGGAACCAACGACCCAGATGATGAGCGCGAGACCGGGACTACCGAGGAGAGCGAGGATAGAGCCGGGTGTGGCGAAGATACCGGTTCCAATGACACGGTTGAAGATGAGCATAGAGGCGCTCAGAACACCGATCTGGCGCTTATTTTCAGCGGCGACATGAAGACGGCCTGTGGAGTTAGCAACAATCTCATAAACAATTGTCATTGTAGACATACCCTCTTCACTGTCTGAACCGACATAGTTGGTCTTGTTAGCCTTGGGCTCAAGACCCTTGAGATCGTCGTTACTCATGATACCAACTCAATACAAAAACCCAATCTCTGATGAACCATCTCCAACAAAAAGGGGATCCCACATCCCCTTTAATACCTCCCCCATACCTATCCTCATTCCCCATGGGAAGGCAAAAAATTAGAAAAAGCTTGGGTGGTCCACCACGCAGCGGACCCAAAAGTCTAGAAGGCCGCCAGAACGGCACGATCCTTGAATCGTGCCACTCGGTGAGCCGCCAATCATGACGGGGCTGTGGATGGGGTGAAGCTCTTGGTGGGCAGCTAATGTGTCATGAAAATATCTGCTTGGTGTTTTTAGAGTGACTAGGACGATGACGCGATCTGAGGTGATCGCACGCTTATTTCCAGTTGACCAATGAGGTTTGGGTGACATGCGCAGTTGGTCCACTCTGGGCATGGGTGAGAAAAAGTCTCCCCGGGCATCGCGCCGCTTGTATAAGGATCCAGGCTCGTGGGATTGCGGCTTGTTGAGGCTCAATTTAGGTCTTTGTCTTAACTACCTTCCAATTTCAGCTGTGGATATTTGTGTATGAGGTATACGATCGGAAGAACGGGTGAGTATGCATCAAGGATCGATGGAAGTGGTTGCTTGTCAAGAAAATTACATCCCACGCTCATCCTGACCAGCAACAGGGCGCACCGCGTCGTGTGACTCCCCGAGGCATTGCGTGATGAACACACATACTTCCAAAGATAGTTAAAACAATAATAATAAACTCAGTCCCTTTCAGCCTGTAAGGCCGTACTCCCCGAAGATCCCTGCTTGCCACACGGGAGCTGCGATAATATCACCATCGTCGCCTCAGACCACGTCAAGTAAGCTCACCTGCCTGATCTACAATAGCTTGAACAAAAGTTCAAGAATATTTTTTGTTATTTCTTGGCTGTGTAGTGAATTGCTGAGCTATTGGTTTGCCTGTGTTGAAGCTAACTTGTTGTTGGGTGCTGGCCGATGACGTGCCCGGGCCAAGGGATTGTCCCTTAACTTAATATTTTTGCTCGCTTTTGCACGCTTTAAGCCGGGTTTCACGTGAAGAGCTGTGAAAAGGATGAAATATGTCAGATATTAGCTGCCTATTCTGTGTTTGTTGCCCGTGAATGTTGTTTGCCAAGACGATCTGGAACTCAGATCATAGAGATGATCATTTGCAATACAGCCACCAAATAGAGTCATCGCCAAAGGAGGAAAATACCGATGATAGATCGAGAATTCCACGGTCAGCAGTTGGATAGAGTAAGACTTACATGATCTCGTGTCCAATATCGCACATCTCCCCACTCAGGAGTACGATCGAGAACGATACTACTGTATCCTTGACGATGCGGGTGGCGTTAGTTTGCCTGGCGGCTATTAACCTAGCATGATCTGCCGGCTACTTGGCCCGATGGCGTTTAAGGTACTTCCTCACTAGTGGAGGGTTTTTGCAATTCCTTTTCGCTGAGTGGTTGCATGTATATTATGTATTGATGTTGCTTGACCCTACCCTGTAGCTAGGGTTTATTTTGACATACCGGAGAGCTCATCTATATTCGTTTGAGTTATATAGCCATATAAATCTTCAAAAGAATATACTAACATGGTACTGGGATTCTGTTCACATTTATGGTATGAAGGCTGTTGGATTCTGATTCTGTGTCAAGGACGAATCCTCGGCTTTTGCCCATGCAATCACTTAAATGCACAACAACGTTCGCGTCGACCTTTCAAGTTATTTGTGCTGGTTCAAGCCATTAGCGTTAATATCCTCTCGTTAATTTACTTCCCATACTCCTCGTTAGCATTACAATTTCAGTAGTATTTACTGGCCCTATAACTTGCATGTTAACTCTTCAAGTTCAGCTCTCCAGTACACATCGTATCACAAACCTTTATTTAGTTTATACACAACTCAAAGAAATGGATATAAATGTCCAGGAGAGTTGAAGCCTTTTATGTGCTATATAGTACTAATTTCAGAAACCGACAAAACCTAAGAACTCATGAGTGGAGTGCTTGGCGGCCTGGCCCATGAGAAGTTGAGAACTAAACTGAACCAAGAACATAGCCCGCACTGAGGACAAAGATGATTTGAACCTATGCACTATAGAGGTTGTTTCTACTAAGACAAGCCAGGCTTCTCAGAGTGATTGGCTCATAAATGGCTTCTTGGCACTGTAGCCATCATACCAAGAAACAAAAAGCTCATCAAGGCCTCGCCTCCGTTCTTCAAGCTACACCCCTGTATGAGAGGCAGTATTCTAAATTATTCGATCGCACGGACTTACCGTTACCAAAGATAAGATTAAGAAGGAAAGCAGTTGGAAAGGGGTCCATTGGCATTTGTCTGAGATGAAGCTGACTCAGACGTTTGGCGGGACACATGAAAGCCATCATGACACATGGGCAAGACTTGAGTGCCCACATTATAGCGACAGCATATACAAAGATCTCATATCTTGATATAGTTCAGATTAACGTGAGATTCCTGCTGCATGGAACTGTTTTGCTGCATATCGGGAAGACACCGCATCAAAAAAGGTGATGGTCTGTTGCAGCTTAGTCTCATGATATGAGCATCAGCCACCACCCATCGTGGGTCAGCATAGCAGCAGATATGTCGTTCACTCGCGATGAAAGAGTAGCTAGGAGATAGGCGAAGGAGTTCTTACGCACGTACGCCATGAGATGCTTGCACCTCGGTTCCTAAAGCCTGTGTGCGTGCCGAGCATGCCGAAACATACGTGGACTCTTCAATTGATCTCTATGCGTCGCATCATGTCAATGATTTACACCAGCACCATTCACTAAAAGCCAGCTATAGAACCGCCAATAAGAACAAGCAATCTTGGGGGTTGTCAATTGACAGGGACAGTGTGCTGTTGACGATGACGGCATAGTCATGACAAGCGGCATGGCCCGTAGCGGTTCTTAATTGCATGCCGATCTCTTCAACGGTCGGTGAATCAGTCACACGAGCGATTTCTAGGCATAAAGGATAACATTCAGATCAGCTCTTTCACCTTGCAAACTCTCTTTATGTCTTCATCTGCAGCCGCATCAATTGCCGATAGACAGTCAGCAAACGTGGTGGCTGATTGTGGCGTTACAGCCCCATATCAACGCGTTGCCGGTCAACGCGCCCACGCTCAGCTCAACTTGCGACCAGCATCTAACCACAGTGACGCAATACCACAACCGCTGAACACAACTCAACGCGAACAATCGCAAAGTCATCGCGACTACCGTGGTTTTCGCTGCAGAGTCATGGTATCACCCAACAAAGGTATTTCTCCCCTTCGCATGTCGCTGCTTCCGCTCACAATCCAGATCCCTACGACTTTCCAGCTTCCCCGTTGAAGACCCGAGACGCTATGGCTGCGGAGAGCCCTTCCAAGGAAGATGGCTTGGTCCATCGCGAGAAGCCCGACACCACAAAGGCCTCTCCTGCGTTGAGAACCGGAACTCCTCGTGGAAATACTCCTCGGGGCGCAACCCCACGAACTTCATCCCGAGTTGGCACACCCAAGGCTGGCACTCCGCGCGGAACCCCCAAAGTCAGCACCCCTAAGACGGAGACCCCCGCGAAGAAATCTGCACCCGTCGTCTCCGATTCCCCTGCCGAGCCCCCCGAAAAGAGCCTTGAGAAGAACGGCGACAAGCTCAATGGAGACGAGGTGAACGGTGTTGAGGTCAACGGCGATGCGCCTAAACCCGCCAATCCCGGTTTTAAGGAAGATGTGGCCATTGACGAGTTCATTGAGCATCGTGTCGACCCCGACAATTCGACCGTCGACATCAAAGTCAAATGGGAAGGCGGCGAGACCACCTGGGAGTCAGAATGGAGTCTCCAAGAGCAGGTGCCCACGCTGGTCTACAAGTACTGGGACAAGCTCGGAGGCCGAGAGGAGGCGACTCAGCTGGACGTCTACCACGTCTTCAAGATCCTCAAGTGTATCCCCGCCGCTGGCAGAAAGAAGACCAGCTATGAAGTCCAGTGGGTCGGCTACAAGCAAAACGACTCTACCTGGGAGAACGAGGAGAAGCTGCGATTAATCGCGCCGGGCGAGCTGGAGAAGTTTGAGGCTAAGCAGTTGGCTAGCGGCGCTTCTGCTGAGAAGCGCAAGACTGCACGTGGACCAGGACGACCTCGCAAGAAGCCGCGATACGACGACTGAGGAACAATTGGGGAGGGCGGAGAAAACAGTTGGCGAAGAGGGTGAAGCGATTGAAGCGATTGTGGACTATTTACACTTTGACAAGGCGCACGCTTCGGCGAAGACAGCCAAAAGGACATGTAGAGAGTATCTGGGCGCACACGATGGATATGTATTTACTGGAACAAACAACACATTAATCAGTCCTTGTGTCCTCCTCCTTGAGCAATGGGTAATGTCCGTGATCCTCCTTGAACGACATGAGCGAAAATTGCGCAATCACAAAAACCCAGTACAGGTTATAGGCAAGCACAGATCCGTACGTAGCGGAGTTGTTCCATCCGACAACAGCATTCAGAATAGCCCAGCCTCCACCGCCGTTGAGCTGAGGATTGCAGCACTGGATTGTCAGTTGGGTTCGCAAGGCTGAGGAGGCTACTCACGTTGACGTGCCAGATACTCCGGTCGATATCGTATGATCCAGGACCATCTCCGAGTTCCGCGGCATCACCGCCGACGACCTTGTTCCACTGCTGTTGCTCAAAGAGCCAGATTGCGCGGGAGAACAGACCTGCTGCGACGAGGTAGAGAAGACATGTCGAAGCGACGAGGAAATATTGCAGTTTCGCAGATGAACCGCCCCTGAGATGTTAGACACGTTTGTCAATTGATCGACTGACTTACCGGTAGAGAGCATAGCCAACAAGGCCGCCCAGCATCAATCCCATGATGACGGGGAGAGGGACGGCAGAAGCGGGTGCAGAAAATGAGACACCAGCGACAAAAACGATGCCCTCGATACCTTCACGAAGAACAGTGATGAAGGGCAACACGAACATGGCATACTTCTCAAAGAGATTAACCAACCACGCTCGTTTTCCTTGCGCTGTTACTGGTGTCTCAATGGCCTTTGCCAATTTGGCCCTCCACTTATCCTCCATCTTACCCACACGCAACAACGCACCGCCCATGATGGTGATGATGACAGCCGAAATGAGCGAAAACACTCCTTCGTAGTAATACTCATGATCAGCCCAGGTATCGTTACCAAGAATGTAAAATATCCCGATAATTACACCGGAGCCGATGAGACACAACGCAAGACCCAAGGCCGTTCCCAGCCAGACCTAGAGAATCAGCCATTGCACTCTAAATTGACTCAGTTTAAATATGTACCTGTGTGCGCAAGGTTTTATAAATACCAGCATCGCGCTGAGATCCATCAAGCGTCTGTTTCAGAAAGGCCAGCAGCACCGAGACGATGATAGCAGTCTCGAGGGTCTCCCGAAAGACGACGACGAACACGGGCACGGAGAATAAATCGAGCATTTTTTGACGATGTTTTTGACGATGCAAGATCAGAAAGATCAGATAACAGAATTTCCGATAACCGCTTGCCAAGCTCGTCTCTGCCTCGGCCGCTTGAGACTAAAAGGGTCACACGATGTCCACAATTGATCGTATGACCGTCGAATCAAACGAGGCTAAGAAAATTCTGTCCAAAGAGAAGCCCTAAATCTTAAATAACCGCGCATGACATGACATTTTTCTCTTCGTCCGACGTCGGATTATCTGATTGATAAGATCCACTTTCCCCCAATCCCTCCTCCAACCTTTGCATCCCCAGTCAACATGAGGATCTCGCGGTTGGCTCTGTTGCCGGCGGCTTTGGCTGCGACGGTGTCTTATGACTTTTCTGTTGATTGGGTCAGGGCGAATCCAGATGGTGCTTTTGAGAGGTCCACGATAGGGATTAATGGACAGTGGCCGATACCGAGGATTGAAGCGAGTGTTGGGGACACGGTTTTGGTTAATGTGAGGAATAATCTGGGGAATCAGTCTACGAGTTTGCATTTTCATGGGCTTTTTATGAATGGTTCGAATCACATGGATGGACCGTCGCAGGTTACGCAGTGTCCTATTCAGCCTGGAGAGTCGTTTCTCTACAACTTTACGGTATGTCTCTTGTCTCTATGCCGAAGATATACTGACTTGAAAGATCACTCAACCCGGCACATATTGGTATCACTCACATACCGAGAGTCAATACCCTGATGGACTTCGAGGTCCTCTCATCATTCACGATCCAAAGTCACCTTTCAAAGGAAAATACGATGAAGAACTTGTCATGACCATCTCGGATTGGTATCACGATCAGATGCAGACATTGATTCCTGAGTTTATGAGGAAAGGAAACCCAACTGGTGCAGAGCCCGTCCCTCAAGCAGCTCTCATGAACGAAACTCAAGATTTCAAAGTACCTGTACAAACAGGCAAGACGTACTTTTTGAGGTTGGCGAATATCGGTGCCTTTGCGGGACAATATTTCTGGATTGAAGGACATAACCTGACGATTGTGGAGGTTGATGGTGCCTACACAAAGCCGGCTCAAGCGAATATGGTTTATTTATCTGCTGGACAGCGATGCAGTGTGTTGGTCACGACGAAGGAGAATTCATCAGCCAACTTTCCTATTGTTGCGAGCATGGATACTGTAAGTTTGCCACTCTTTGATTTACATGGCTGACCGTTTAGGATCTCTTTGACGTTCTCCCCGACGATCTCAACTGGAACGTCACAGGATGGCTTGTATATGATGACGAAAAGCCTCTTCCAAAGTCGTCCGTCGTCTACGACTTTGATCCTTATGATGATATGGATCTTGTGGCGTACGACGAAATGGCCAGACTTCCTGAACCAAGCAGAAGCATCGAGCTTGATGTCATCATGGATAACCTTCGAGACGGCGCAAACTACGCCTTCTTCAACAACATCACCTACCGAGCTCCCAAGGTTCCGACACTTTACACTGCGTTGACGAGTGGAAAGCAGGCGACGAATCCTCAGATCTATGGAACGTATACGCATAGCTTTGTGTTGGAGAAGGATGAGATTGTGCAGTTGGTGATTAACAACCGAGATGATGGACGACATCCGTTCCATTTGCATGGTCATCACTTTCAGGTGTTGCATCGAAGTGATGATGACGCTGGTGACTTTGATGGATCGGTGGAGTTTGCGGAGACGCCGATGAGACGAGATACAGTTGTCGTGAATGGAAATGGCAATGTGGTGTTGAGATTCAAGGCTGATAACCCAGGTATGTTACCCGATTGAGTCCTGAACCAAGCTAATGGTCAGGTGTCTGGCTGTTCCACTGCCATATCGAATGGCACGTCACCTCTGGGTTGATCGCTACATTTGTTGAAGATCCCCTCGCCCTACAAGCTTCACTAAAGCTTCCCCAGAATCACCTCGACGCATGCAAAGCCGGTAACATTCCTACCGTCGGCAACGCAGCAGGAAACACTGATCTCCTCGATCTCACCGGCGAAAACGTCCCTCCACCACGTCTTCCAGAAGGGTAGGTCCCCCCAAACCCTCACGCGACACCACTAACAGTCACAGCTTCACGCTCAAGGGCATCCTCGCATTCGCATTCAGTACATTCATGGGTATTTTCGGTATCTACACAGTCGCATCCTACGGGATGAAGAAAGACAAAAAGACACCCGAGACAGCACCTCTCCTCGCGGAAGAAGAGCCGCAACATTAGATTAGACAATAGATCGCTGCCAACGCCTCACACCCGCCCCCGTAGCTGCTCATTTCTGCTTAGGCGGAGCAGCTGGGTACTTTGAGACCTCCCTCAGATGATCTGGCGTGCCCAGTGCTTCCATCTCTCCACCGCGCTCCTTGAATGCGACTTTGCGACCGCAGTTCTTGCAGAAATGGCTGATGTTTGGGGCGCAGTGACATGCGTAAGGGAAGATAACGCCGAAAAGAGTCGTGAAGAAAAGAGCAGTCGCATAAATACTACAATTCAATTAGATACCTCACTTGTGATCAGTTGGGGAGTAAACGTACTGTGTCATTGAAGAAGCAGACTTCTTCACCTTTGTCTCAGCGCGGCGCTGACAAAACGGACAATCCATCATATCAGCCTGATCAGCCAGCAAATGCAACGGCGTAACAGTTTCTCCAGGAGGAACCTGCTGCGCTGGAATGGCCATTGACTGATGCCCCGCGTACTGCTGCTGCGCAAGAGCAGGATGCTGCAGGATCGGCGGCGATTGTGTACCGTCCCAGTTCAATGTACTTTCCGGCGCAGGAGAAACAGTCGAAACGGGGCGGTATTCGCTTGCGGGGGGAGGACTCATTTGCGCTGGGCTGGTCTGCTCGGTAACGACTTCGGGGAGGTTTTCGTCGTCGACTTTAGGTTGCCTGGTTCACTTGTCAGCGTCGCGTGAAATTTGGGGGGTAGTGTACTGTAGCGCGGCGTACTCAATTGCGATTTTCTCGTCGCGGGGGGATTCAGCGTTTGCTGTGTATTTTGGAGGCGAGATCACATCCGCGTTTGTTGTTTCTGGCGATACGGTCGACATTTTGACGGGCGCGAGCGAGGCTGTGAAGAATTGAGGCTGTGATGAGATGAGATTTGGATTGAATTAAAAAGATGAGACGAGACAAGACACTCGCATTTGGAGTCCGAGGGAAGATTAAACAAGATACGTAAGCTGGGGAGACCCTGGCTCTTAGCTTGATCCTTTCGAGGCGCTTTCGTTTCAGCTGCCGATCCCCGCCACTTTGACCGTTAAATGACCGAACAACATTTGACTAGCTCTGATCTTCTAATGTAGTTTCCATTCTCGCTACTTCATAAGCATCGTCGATTCGTGGCTTTGAGGAAAGAATTGGGAATCTTGTATCGAGAGTACCAAGATTTCGAGACACCACGGACCAGAAAGGGACTGACCCGCCGCTGGAATGGCGATTGGTGGTCCGCTAGGGGAGTAAAGAAAACTCGAGACCTTGATCCTAAATGACAAAAAGACTTAGGTAACTTAGCCTAAGGCTTAGGATAGTTTTGCTCAGTTTATTTGGACACCCAATATCAAGGTCTCATGTTTTCTTGCTCCCTGAGGGTTTGTTGCAGGGTTGTCGGAGGCTTAGTGCTTATCTTGCAGGGGTGATCACTGAGCTAGCGGAATCCCGTATCCGTCGGATGGATGTTATCGATAAGATGAGTCCAATTGACTTTAAACAAAACGTTGGTGTTGACTTTGTAAGGTAGGGCTGAGTTCATTGCATTAATCTCCAACTTACTCGACCGCTTCGCAGCATAAAAATATTGTCATAATAGTTCTTTACTCTGTAGGAATATTTTGATTCGCAACCTCGTAGGCGTGAACACCGGCTGCTTTGAGACTCTTGCATGGGGGTTTCAGCTCCAAGGCAGGCTGTAGCCTTCTTGACCAACAGCGTCCACCACTTGTCACATGGAGGTCATTCCTCGGACAGTTTCAGCGTTTTGTGCAACACACATGAGAAACCTGACCAACCAAAACTAAATACAGCTATGCAGCTGGATGCACGTCTCTTGAGAATGTGACTCCTGGAGATGAGAATCTCAGGATAAAAAGAAAAAGCAAGGCAAAAAGCCACCAATTTTGCGTGAGGCGTGTACAGATATTATTGTCTCTTGATTTCCTGTTATGAGTACTACATTGGAGGCTTACATACAAAAGGCCCCCAATTGGGTGCAGGATACAGGACTCCTCAAGATTCTCATAATTTCACAGATACTTGCATCATGGATGAAACTGTGCGGCTGGAGCTGAGAAGCCTCATCTCATCGACTGCATCGCGGGAAACTGGAAAAACTCCAGTCCTTCATTCCTCTGGTGTTGGAGAGCCACTTCGACAATCTTCGCCGTCCTGGAGCAGGAGAGTAGGCTTAGCTGTGCTACTTCTTCTCATCCCTATCGCATATTCAGGTAAGTTGCATGAGTCAAAGAAGCACAGAAGCTCACCAGGCAATAGTCATCCTTGCCATGATGGCTCACTTGCACGGGAAAAAACAGAGCTCATTTGGCGACACAGTACTAGAAGTTCTAAGCGTTGCTTCCACCTTGTGGCCAATTTTGTTCGCTGCTGTTCTGGGACCATTACTGAAATCCATCGCACTCTTCCGTGCTGAAAGAGGATCAAGACTAGGCTCACTAGAGTTTCTCTTGACTAGTCAGACCACGGCTTCTGCTCTGAAGAACATCCTCACGATGGGATGGATTGGTAGTTGGGCCATCGGTGTCATTACAATATGGTCCCTGAGTCCTTTAGGAGGTCAAGCCGCACTCCGCTCATTAGGTCTCCAGCCAAATCCTATTTCCACAAAGACGCCAGCAACATACTACCTTGGGAATAACAGAAGTCAGGTCTTCCAGTACTACCGCGCTGGGGCGAGTGTCTTCTTCGGAGCATCAGCTGGAGCATCCCTTATTTCAGATATGAGGACTATTATTTCTACTTCATTTTCGACTCAGGATATC